TAATGCATCTTTGGAAGGAAGAATCTCACCTCAAATCGATTTTCAACAACTTGAGAACTCTAGAGGTGCTTGAGTGTATCAAATTGGTGAATTTATTGCCATCAGTTGTTTCTTTTGAGAACCTGCAGACTCTAAAAATATCAAAATGTCATGGACTTGAAAATTTAGTGAGTTACTCAACTGCTAAAAGCTTGAAACGGCTGGAAACAATGCGCATAACAGATTGTGACTTAGTGGAAGAAATTGTCAAATGCATGGAAGATAATGTGAAGGATGGCATTGTCTATGGCCAACTCCAGTCTTTGCAACTTCGCGGTCTTCCCAAACTGTCAAGCTTTTGCACAGGGAAGTGTGACTTGGAGTTCCCATCTTTGAAAGAAGTAATTGTGATAGGATGTCCACAAATGAAATATTTTTCCTTGGGAAAGACAGTAACAAAGGAATTACAAAATGTTCAATGGATAGATGGTGGAGAGAAAGGACACTGGGTAAGCGATCTTAACAGCACAATACAAGACTTATACACTCAAAAGGTACACACTAATTCAAAAGATTTCCTTGTGTGTTTCTCAATCATTATATATTCAGGCTTCTTTACTTAATATTACTGGATTTAGTGACATAGAAGAACATATTAATATAATATGATTTAAGAAAAAATTTTTAAATAATTTTTTTGTTGGGATCGTATGGGAGAGTTTAGAGTGAAGGGGTAAAGAATTGTATAGGTCTACTCTATTCCTTTTGGATGGTTAAGAGACTAGCCATTCTCTCTTGTCTGAACTTTCTCAAAGGCTTAGAACAGTGGCACTTTCAATAAGGGGATTAGAAGAAGAGCTTACAAGGTCAGTTGAGGGCGGCTTCACTTTCACTTAGTTTCTGAATCCAATGTACATTAAAAGAACCAAGGGTTGATCATTCATTTTCTATAATCCTTAATTTAATAATCAAAGAGACATTAGTGTAGTTGCAGAGAGGGAACAACTTTAATTTTAAAAACTTGAAGGAATATTTTTGTATATTTCTCTAATTTGATTTTGTGCTTAATTGGATAGAGTTATTAATGTATTTTCTTTGTGTCATATCAAGGCATTAATCTGTTGGGTTTTATAGGTTGGATACTTCGGATTTGAAAGTTTGAAGCTTTCAGAATTTTCTGAGTTAATTCAAATTTGGAAAAGGAATTCTGAAGAATTAACATTACCTTTCAAAAAGCTTCAATCTCTAGAAGTTAATAATTGCAGCAGCTTGAGCTACCTTCTGACCCCTTCCATGGTATTGCGCCTTGTGCAACTCAAGAACTTGAAGGTAAAAGGCTGTGCAGCAATAGAACAAGTGATCATGGCTGCAAGAGTTGGGGAGGTAGTTGAATCTGACTCAATATTATTCCCACAACTAAAGTCCATTTCACTAGAGTCTTGCTCCGAGTTGTCAAGTTTCTATGTGGGAAGTAACACCCTCAAGTTTCCAACGTTGGAGGAAATTATTGTAAAGGACTGTCTAAAAATGGTTAGATTTGCATTCAAATTTTCAAGCAAGCAAGAGAAAGAGACAATTGATGGAAGAAGTGAGGAAATGCTTGTCAAGAAAGAACCTAATATCTTCATTGAGGCTTTTTTCTGTGATAAGGTGAGTTTTATGTTTTATTTTTTATTTTTTTAAAATTTCTTCACAAAATTGATAGGGACAAGAATTTACTGCCCTTTTTTTGCATGGTATAATTGATAATTGCTACACTTCCACGTCGTTTCAATAACTTTGTGGACCCATTACCTATTTT